CTCTATGCTCAAGAATGCATCAGCCATCACATCATAGCGATGGCCATCATGAATCGCCAAAGTAGAATTTTATTATTATTGTTATTAATAGGGACTTTTTTTGATGATAAAATTCAAGGTAATTTAATTGAACTTACCCAGGGATGCCTAGTTAAAAATTTACAATTAATAATACATTTCCTTTAATTACTTTTCCTCTCCTTGTATAATTAAAATACATCCAAATGATCACAGTGCCAAGCTCTTGGGGCCTGTCTTATTCCAGCTGAATTGATGACATGAATCTCAGCAGGTGCCATTATTCACAGACTGCTGAGGGTCCTGAGTCGACCAGCACTTCAGCTTTAAGGCTGGCTGGCTAATGGCTGTGCAGGGTCACCTGGAGCTGCTACCTGTGTAATCTAGATTCTTAGAATGTCAGAGCTAGAAGGAACCTCAGCATATAAAGTATTAGAACTTGGAAAAAAAGAATGTTACAGCTGAGAGGAATCTTTCTGTTGCTGTTGAAAATTTTTTATATTTTTTTCCAATTACATGCAAAAACAATTTTTAACATTTTTTAAAAAATTGAGTTCCAAATTCTCTCCTTCCCTCCCCTCCCTTTCATTGAGAAAGCAAGCAATTTGATATAAACTATACATGTGCAAAACATATTTTTATATTAGTCATGTTGTGAAAGAAGAAACCAACAAAAATAGTATTCTTTCTCTGGTGGTGGAGACCATTTTTCATCATGAGTCCTTCGGAATTGTTGGTCCTTTGTACTGCTGAGAAGAGAGAAGTCATTTGTAGTTGGTGATTGCACAGTGTTGCTGTTGCTGTGCACAATGTTCTCCTGGTTCTGCTCACTTCACTTTGCATCAGGTCATGTAAATCTTCCCAGGTTTTTCTGAAACCATCCCACTCATCATTTCTTATAGCATAATAGTATTTCATTACATCCATATACCACAACTTGTTCAACCATTCCCCAACTGATGGGCATTCTCTCAATTTCCAATTCTTTGCCACCACAAAAAGAGCTGATTATATATATATATATATGTGTGTGTGTGTGTGTGTGTGTGTGTGTGTGTGTGTGTGTGTGTGTGTGTTTTGTATTAGCCTATAATTAAGTCACAAGAGTTATCACAAGACTTAATTGGCTGTGTGACCTTGGGTGAGTCATTCAATTTTCCTGAACCTCATTTTCCTCATCTGCAAAATGGAGATAATACCAGCACCTACCTCAAAGACTTTAGCCACAATTAAGGCAGCTAGTGTACATAAAGCACTTTGTGAACCTAAGAGCATCCTATAAAGAGGAGCTGTCTTTCTGGATCTTTTACAGGTCCAAGAAGAGAATCCAAGCAGATGTATTAGTATCTTCCTTATCATGTCACATTCAAGACTCAAACTGACGTTCCCAGTTCTTCACAAGGGGGAAAGCTGGGCATTCACTCTCATTCTGTCCAACAGTACTGGGGGCTTCTTGATGATGAGACCCTCCAGGTCATCTGGATGTGGCATTTGTTAGCTCAGAATCCAGCCAGGGGCTGGAGAGACTTAGAGCCGGAAGTGACCTTGGAGGTTTCTAGTTGAACCCCTGACTTTACAGATGAGGAAGCTCAGGTCCAGAGAGATTGATGTGCCCTTGGTCACCCAGGCAGTAAGTGGCAAAGAAGGGATTTGAACTCGGGTCTCCTGACCCCAATCCAGCAAACTTGCCACTTAGGAATCTCATAGGCATTTAGAAAGTGGTTTCAGAAATTGCACCCTTGGTATGCAATACCTTTGAGACCCTGTCCCGGTAATAAGAGGAATCAGAGAGTCTAAGTACTGGTTATGGAATATCAGAGTTGGAAGGGTCCTTAGAGACTATAAAGTTGTAACCCCTTTAATTTACACTTGGGTTCAGGGTTCCCCTACTCTCTAGGCTCATATGGACTGGGTCCAATCTTCAGGGCTGACCCAAAGGACCAGTCTTGATTTGGCCCATGTGTCCCAAATTAGAATTTATTCTGGGAAACCTCTGAATATGTTCATGTTTGCTGTTCAGTTGTGTTTGACCCCATTTGGGGTTTTCTTGGCAGAGATACTGGAGTGGTTTGCCATTTCCTTCTCCAGCTCATTTTACAGATGAAGAAACTGAGGCAAACAGGGTGAAGTGATTTGCTCAGGGTCACATAGCCAGTAAGTATCTGATTCAGGATTTGAACTCAGATCTTTCTGACTCCAGGCCTGGCACTCTATCTACTGTGCCACCTAGCTGCCTATGTGTACATATTCATGTTTAGGTTTCCACAAATGCAGGTAAATGAGTCCCTGCCTTTTATACAAGCATTAATGGTAACAGATGCATATCAGGTAGAGGACACTTTCTATTTCACCCCATAGAAAATGCAAAAAAACATAAAGGAGCACATAAACAGGTACAAAGCACTCACAATAGCTCATAAGCTTTCCTAGGAAGGAAACTGAATTTGAAATTGCCCTTAGAGCCGCACTGACATTCTGGTGAATCTCTACCTCTTCCACAGGATCCTACACAGTCCTCTCAGTCCTGCTAAGACCTGCAATGCTTTAGACCCCGTATTTTAGATTCCCCCTTCTGGCACAAGGAAGGCAAACACACTTCGGGGCCATTAGATGGCAGCTCCCTTTATATCAGACCAAGGTATGGATCTTCTATTTCCCCTCTTCACTGCAAGGGCTGCTCCTGTCATTCACTTCTACGAGAGCTCAAAATGCACCACCACTGCTCAGATGCTGCTGTTGTTTCTTAGGCCAGCGAAGTCCCTTCTTCATTCTCTGGTCCCTCTTCTGTACTCCTGAAGGGAAATAGAAGGGCAGCAGGTGTCGAGGAGGCCCACACTCAGGAATTTCCCTCTCAAGCCCTTGAACTAGCATGTGCAGCTCCCCATATGCTTCTGCCAAAAGGCAGACATTAATTGTTTTGGCAGTGGGATGGGGAAGGAGAGGAAGACATTGCTTCTCTTTCCTCTTTCCTTGTCCCTCAAAGAAAGCACAAGGGAAAAGGTGAAAAGGGGCAGAAAGAAGTCCCTTGACTTTCTTTCATAGGCGATCACAGAGGAGTGACTCTTCCAGTAAAGAGTCTATCTTCTGAAGATCCCCAGCCAACAAGGAGGCAGTGCATCCCAGTGGAAAGTGCATTGACTTGGGTGACAGGGGACTTGGATTCAAATCCTGACCGTCACTTATCACCTATGTGACCTTGGGGAGGTTACCTAATGTTTCTGATTCCTCAGCTGCAAAAAGAAGAGGGTTTGACTGGATGGCCATTAGAGTCTCTTTCAGTTCTAAGATTCATGAGCCTATCGTATAATTTATGAAATTTTGGGGCTAAAACCCTATTCCTTGGAATGGACCACTCCAAACTGGGCAGTCCATTTTGAGGCAACTCAGGAAGACCTCATCAAAAATTGTTTTCATTCTCTTACAAGAGAACACGTCCATATTCTATAGGGTAGTTTTCAGGACAGGGACATTCTGCCTCCATGGTTGAGGTTCTCACTAGACCAAGTGGAAAGTGAACAGCGGAGGGCCACCAGGATGGGGAGGGGTCTTGAACCCTTCTCAGGTGAGGACCAGCTGAAGGAACTGGGTAGATTTAGCCTGGAGAAGAAACGACTGGGGGAGTGTGGTTGTGGTCCAAATGATCTCATCTGTGTGCAGCCCTTTGGATGCTGGTTCAATGTTTTCACCCTCTTCAAGTATTTCAGGGTGTGTCTGGTGGAGGAGAGATCAGACACGTTCCCTTTGGCCCCGGAGGGAAGAGCAGTGGGTGGGTTGTTGTGAATCAATCAATCCGTTTTTGAGGGAGAGGGTATCGGGGATGAGGAAGGCAGAGTCAATGCCAGGTGTTAGTTCAAAGAGGTGGAGAAGTGTTAGCAGGGAAGGTAATCACCGACTTGGATGTGTTTGATGGAGGAGGGACTCCTCTCTTCTCTTTGGCCCTAGAGGGTGGAACCAGAGCCAGTTGGGAGAAGTTGCACAGACGCCAATTGAGGCTGGGGCTCAGAAAGAAATTCCTCAGGATGAGCGCTGGCCCAAAGGGCAGTGGGCTGCCTGGGGGAGGGGCCTCATCCTCTTCACTCTTCAGCAGGAGCTTGGGCTCGACCTTTTGGGATAGTCACAACAATCAATGGTATTAATAGCGAATGTTAACACAAATTCAGTACCGTGTTGATCTCATCTCCCTGTCTTGAATCTCTGGACACCCTGGGTGGGCAGCACCACAGACACACCAAATGTGAGGGATGTAATGGACTTCAGCCCTCACCCTGTCCAAACCTTACACAAAAGGAATCTCTGGGCACTACATGTCACCTAAATGGGCATCCAGCTTCTGCGTGCAGCACTGGCAGCAGGGGGAGCCCATAACCTGCCACGGGGGATCCCTCTCACTGCAACGAAGTTTTCCTAAGATTCAGTATGAACCAACCCACTGGTGACTTCCCCCCATGACTCTTGGTCCTGTCCCTGGGACTAATCCCTCCTCTCTACTGACACCCAAGCCTTTGGATATTTTGAAGAATGCAATCAACTCCCCTGAATCTTCTCTTTCTTGGGCTAAACACCCCCAGTTCCTTGGACTTTTCAATGCTTATGGAACTTGTGGTCCACTCAGACCCTCCAGATCTTTTTCAGAATAGTTGCTATCTCCCTAGATAACCATCATATTTTACCTGTGGAGTATGATGCTTTTTGTACCTAAGTGTAAGCCCCTGCATTGATCTCTATTGAACTTCATCTTAGATTCAGCCCAAAGCTCTGGCCTATCAAAAGCATTCGGATTGTCACTCTGTCCTCCAGTGTGTTGGCTGGCCCAGCTTGTTGTCATCTGTACACATAATTAACATGTCATTTATGCAAGTAATTGATAAAATTTGAGACTGGAGCACACATAGGGTTAGGAACAGATCCCTGGACACCTCCTGCTAAATTGGCCATCCAGTGAATACCGAAACCATCTAATTGGATTCTTTTCTAATCCATAGGGCTGCTGGGAGCTCCAGTGGACAGACTGCCAGACCTACCATAAGGAAGACCTGAGTCCAAATTTGGCCGCAGACACTACTACCTGTGTGACCCTGGGCAAGTCACTTCACCCTGTTTGCCTCAGTTTCCTCATCTGCAAAATGAGTTGGAGAAGGAAATGGCTAATCTCTCTAGTATCCCTGACCCCAAATGGGGTCATGAAGAGTTGGACACAACTAAATCTCAATAGCAGCCAGCGTAGGTCTGTCTAGATCTTCTCTGCAAGAACACAAGAAGGTTCTTCATCAAAAACTGCTAAAAGTGAGCTCTGCTTTCTCTGACTTACTTTGACAATTCTGTTCAAGTGTTGATGGAGATTTGTCAGGAAGGAGCCTTTCTTGATGAAGTCCTCCTGGCTTCTTGTGATCCCTGTTCCCCTTTAAGACTCTCACCATCTCTTTCGCAATCCAGGCTTGAATTCTCCCAAGAAGGGAAGTCAAGCACCCTGGCCTCTGTTTTCAGCCTCAGTTCTCTTCCCTTTTTTGAAAATCAGGACATTTTGCACAGCACCTGCCCCCAGGAAGCTCTTGATATGTGCTTGCTGACTTGCCTATATTATTATTCCCATTTTTCAGAGGGGGAAATTGAGAGGGCCTCAGGGGCTTCAGTGACTTGTCCATGGACATCAGATAACTAGTAAGTGTTAGAAGCAAAATTTGAACCCAGGGCATACGTGTACTAGATAGCCTCTGGGGCGCTGTATGGAAATTTATATAGCAAGCCACACTGTTTTAGTCTGACTAGTAGGGTTTAATCAGTCTGTTAGGAGGGGCTGTCAGCAAATCTGGGCAGGAAATCTAAAACCATCCCCTACCTGTCTGTCCTCAGGTATCCCCCATGATTGTGGTAGCACCAAAGAGTCACGAGATGCACAAATTTAGGGACATCTCCCTCCTAGATGGTCATGCAGGCTATCTGTGCCCGACCTGCGGTAAAGCCTTCGGAGCCCGCCACAGCTGGACACACTGGACCTTGGCCCTGACATAGTGATGTCATTTTGGTCCTTATCTAGCGGGAAGGATGAGCAAGCAGTCCCTATGATATGGCAGAGGAACTGAGAAGCCACGGCCCCTCCTCTTTGGGAGATGTGGAACTCTCTTAGTATGGAAAGTTGTCCTTAAAAGACATCAACAGGTTAAATCCTGCATCGGTCCCAGAGATCATAGCAACACTTTGGTCTTGGTACTTTTAATAAACTTCTTTTAATTTTCTTTTCCTGAATTTTGCCTCTTTGATCAGGGTGAAGGTCTGAAAACAAAAATTTCTCTTCAACACCTGCTCGGACCCCAGGTCCTTGGAGTCTTATCTACAGGTGCCTTGTCTAAGTTTTCTTTCCTAGGAAGCTGAGTCTCAAAGTGGATACTAGGCCTGAAGTCAGTCTGACCTCAGGCACTTACTAGCTGTGTGGTCCTGGGCTAGTCACTTAACCTCTGTTTGCCTCAGTTTCCTCATCTGTAAAATGAGCTGGAGAAGGAAATGGCAAACCACTCCAATATCTCTGCCAAGAAGACCCCAAATGGGGTTGTGAAGAGTCAGACACAATTGAACTGATAAATTCTTATCCTCACCATCCCTCCCCTCCCCTTCCTTTCCTCCCCTCCTTCTCTATAATATCCCTGAGAAACCACAGTCCAGTAAGGAGCCAATCTCCTCCTTTACTGAGTTTTGCTGTGGCAGCCCTCAGATCCTTAGCATAGGAATACAACTTCCAAGACTTAATTAAAATCAATCTTCAATTACTCAAATACCATCGATTTGGATCTAGGCTGATGGGGGAAAATGTTATCACCATTATGGGAGATGTCGATATTGGGATGTGGAACCTTTTCCTTGTCTCAGAGATGATTGAAGCTCACCTGGCCCCCACCTTCAGGGTGTGGGTGCGAGAACGCTGTCATGAAACAAAAATAGGCTTGAATTTTTTTGTAGGGGGCGGCAGTTTAGTTCTTGTGTTCACATTAAACGCTCGACATCCCAGACATCAGCCTCTCCTCTCCACTTGTACAGGCCGCCATCTTAGTTTGGGCTGTGTTTATCTCAGAGCCAGCAGTAGTATGGTAGGAAAAGCTCTGACTCAGAGTTCTATAAGCGGGGTTCAAATCCATGTTTTAGGTGTGTGACTTTGGCCCAGTCCCTTTTAGCGCTTCATCTAGAAAATGGGTCTAATAATCATTGGAGCTATTGTGAAGTAAAAGCAAACCTGGGAGGGCTATAGAAATGGGAGGATTGTCCTCCTCTCTCCTGGAGCTTCCAAATGATTTCCCTTGCCACTCTCTGCATTCCGCCCTCCATGCTGGTGATTCACCTGGGCACAGATGATGCTTCCAGAAGGCGCCCACGATATATAACCAATGATTAGGAAGTCACAGGGAGGGAACAGTTGCCAATATAATCTTCCTAAGATACAGGCTGCTCCATAAAGATCAATGACTCCCTAGCGCTTAGTGAATAAAATCCAAGCTCCTCTGTCCATCATTAAGGGGCCCCATGCTGTCTGGTCCAATCTCTCTTGGTAACATGCCACGTGGTGGGGTTTGGTTTTGCGTCTCGCCTCTCTCTCTTTCTTGTCCTACGCTCTGTGCTCCTTCCACGTGGTACAAGTAGCTCTTCCTTAGCTTCTACCAGCCTCCTGCCCTCCCCTGCTCTCACACATCCTCCTCACCTGTCTATTGACATCTTCCTCTCTCTTCTCTAGTGCCATGAAGCCTTCCTTGAGGCTCCCTCCAGCTGCAAGTGAGTTCTCTCTCATTTCCAGGATCCAGTATACTCAATGGTATGACTGGTAGCTTGGTGGATAGAGTTTCAGGCCTGGATCTGAGTTCAAATCCAGCCCCAGACACTCCTGTGTGACCCTCGGCGAGTCACTTCACCCTGTCTGCCTCAGTTTCCTCATCTCTAAAATGACCTGGAGAAGGAAATCTTCTAGGATCTCTGCCAAGAAAACCCAAATGGAGTATGAAGAGTCAGATACAACTGAAAAGACCAAATGAGCACATATCCAATAAACCCCAGTGCCTCTTTATTATCTCCAGGATCAGATAGAAACTTTTATTTCTCCTAATCTGGGCCCTGCCTGTGTTTCCAGGGCTTTTTTACACATATTGCTACCCTCTACACCCTCTGTGGCCCAGCCACGCAGGCCTCCTTGCTGTTCCTTAACAATTTTCTCCATTTCCATTTCTCATCTCTGTGCCTTTGCATTACCCATCCCTCACACCTGGAATGCCCTTCCTCTTCACCTTGGCCTCTTAGCATCTCTGGCTTCTTTCCAGACTCACCTCAAATCCCATCTTCTGCAGCAGGCCTTCCCTAATCACCCCCTTCCTCGTGGGCCTCCCCTTCTAAGGTCACCTTCTTCTCACTCTTTTATTTTTATTTTATTTTAATTTTTTTCTTCCCACTCTTTATCTTACATGTTCTTTTCTTTTCTTTTCTTTTCTTTTCTTTTCTTTTCTTTTCTTTTCTTTTCTTTTCTTTTCTTTTCTTTTCTTTTCTTTTCTTTTCTTTTCTTTTCTTTTTTTTTGGTGAGGCAATTGGGGTTAAGTGACTTGCCCAGAGTCACACAGCTAGTGCATGTTATGTGTCTGAGGCTAGATTTGAACTCATGTCCTCTCGACTTCAGGGTCGGTACTCTATCCACTGCAGTGCCACCTATATGTTCTTAGTGTCTCCTCCATGAGACTGTGAGCTCCTTGAGGTCAGGGCCTGTCTTTACCTTTTGTTGTGTCCCCTCTCTTATCTCAGTGCCTGGCACATAGTAGGTGCTTCATAAATGCTTCTTGATTGGTTTAAAATTTTTAATTGATCTTTTTTGTTTTAACATTTCAATCATTTCTAGATCACTCCCCCAAACCACTGTCCCCACCCCCTTCTCACCAACTCAATGAGTTTTCCTTGAAATGTGCCCCCGCCCTGCTTCCCCATAAGTTGAGGGTTCTACAATGACAAAGAAAATTAGACAAAATCGCCTACTACCATGATTTGACAGTGGAATACAACATTTTGCATTCCCATCAAATTAAATGAGCTGGAGAAGGAAATGACAAACTGTTCCAGTATCGTTGCCAAGAAAACCCCAAATGGGATCACGAAGAGTCAGACACAGCTGAATGACATAACAGGTACTTGATAAATTCTTATCCTTGCCGTCCCTCCCCTCCTCTTCCCTCCCTTTCCCATGCTCCTTCTCTGCTATATCCCTGAGAAACCACATCCCAATAAAGAACCAGTGTGTGTGTGTGTGTGTGTGTGTGTGTGTGTGTGTGTGTGTGTGCGCGCGCATTTTTCTCATCTATTCCCTATTTCCTCTATCTTTCCCCACACCTCTTGCACTTCGGTATTCATATTCAAATCAATTCTGCTATTGCTACTAGAAATGGTGCCTTAGTCTACCCCCCCATACCCTACTCACCATCCATGTTTAATGGGGGCTGGCCAATGGAATCCCAGGCTTTGGAGCATGCCCGGCATACTTGGTCTACTGGCTGTTCAAGTGGAAGATTGGGGAGCCTGCTTCTGGGAAGATGAGATGGTGTGTAATGGAGGGCACCCTCCTCCTGTCCCCCAGTTCAGAGCATGTCCAGGGACTCTTTGCTTTTCTTTGTATTCCCAATACTTAGCACAGGGTTCTGTATTCTGTTAGCTTATTTCATGGTGATGAAAATCATTCTAACTGGACACTGAGTTAGACCTGAGTGTGTATACCAGAAGCACAAACAGACAAGAGTTCTCTCTCTTTTCTTACGGCTTTTGAGTGAGGAGAAAAAACTGTAGTCTTCCAGGTGATGGACGGGCTTTGAGCCCTCTCTCTGACCTGGCTGCCACATGACTGTGAATGCATGGTGCTGCCCTTTCTCCTTTGCATGCTGTGGTGTTGACACTTTCCTGATCTTAGGTGAAGGACTATCAGAGAGGTACAGATCCAGTCATGACTTTATGAGCTTTAAAATGTCAGATGAATCACCAGAAGTCCAGGAATTGGAGTCCATAGCAGAGTTTGCTCACAGCAGCCAAGCCCAGAGAGGAGGCAGCTTGGAGGACCAATC